TCTAGCCTCAAATATTAATTTGACAGGGGGGCCGACGTCACGCAGGTCAGAAAACGAATGATCTAGGGGGTAGACACTGAAGAAAATAAACAAATCTTCTGTGGTAAAAATCTTATCTCCCAGATAAATTTGATGTTCTTTTAATCAGTTCCATTATTTCAAATTAAAAAGAATCATTTCGAATCATTTCCAGTCATTTCGAATCAAGTTTCGAAAGTCACCTGTCAAATCAATGTTGAACATCAAAGTGTCTGTGTTATTTTTTTCAATACTTGATTTACAATAAATAAAAATGTTTTTTTGAAAATTAAGTTAGAATTGAATATTTTAGAAAAAGCTATAGACGAAAAATTTACATTTTGTGTAAAAGAAATACCTTGTTTCTGTGCATATAACAGTTAACATGCTTTGAAATTCAAATCCGTTCGTTCCTTGGTGTTCGTTGACAGCTCTGTAGATAACATAATATCTAATGACATTATAAATTAACCATGTAATGAAAGAACGAAGAAGAATAAAGTGGCGAGTGAAGCGAGCCACATTTTTTTGTATAGTGACCTCGATTTTTTAAAAAATTGTCCTCGTTTTGAGTAAAAATTGTCCTCGAAATCAACTAGAAAGACTTGCCTTCATAATGACCCAAAAATTTTCGATCTGATTGCAATCGGGTGACTGTGGCGGCCAATCCATTTGTTTTATTCTATTTTCCTCTTTCCAAGCGGCGCAGAGACGACTCTTGTGTTTTGGATCATTATCTTCTAGTAGAAGCCAATTCGAATTACCGTTGCCATAGAACTCTTTGGCGGTGGGTAACACTGTCGATGCATAAAGTTGGTTCATCCTCATGGCGTTTAGAATGCCCGTGAATATGGTCAACTTTCCAAAACCAGCTTCACAGAAGCAACCATAAACATGCACCTTTTTCGGATGCTTTACCGTGCGAACGACCACTCTCTTTTCAGATCTAGACTAGGCATGGGTAGTGCTATTCACCAGCCAAAAGAATGACTCGTCAGTGTATATAACTTCGCTCCGATCTTTTGTTGAATTTAGCTTTGCCCGGTTAATGCGTTTTTCTTCTGGTTTTCTGTCAAAAGTGATTTCTTCATTGTACTGCGATAATGAACACCGGCGACATCCAATCTTTTCTTGAGTGTGGAGCGCGAGACCTCTATTTTAAGATGGCGTAGCCGTTCAACACCTTGGCTTAACGACATACCTGGATTTTCGTCGAACAACTTAACTATTCGCTTATCTTGCTTTAGCGAGGAGGCTCGGTTTGGCTTAAAATTGGGCTGATCGTTCAAAAATGTTTCGTGCTTATACTGCTGGATCCACTTTTTTACGAACTCTCTTGACTTTTTAATGTGTTTTGCGACCTTCACTATTGACCATTTTGGTCCTTTTGGATGTAAATGCAAAAACACCGCTTCAAAACGCTTATGAAAATATTCCGAATCCATATTTTCGTTTCACAACAAACACTGTAGTGATTTGAGAACTGTCAATGTTAATTGGCGCATTAGCTTAAAGTGCCATCTGGCGACACCAAAAATATTTTCAAGATATTTGAAACTTTTTGTGGTTAAATCAACCGGCCTCTATAATGAATCATACTGTATAATATGGCGTGGGCTGATCCAACCGATATTTTAATGTCCTCAGCTACTTCTCTAACACGGCGATTTTCGAGTAACATTGCCTTGAAATTTTTGATGTTTTCTTCGCTACAAGATGCTAGTCAACGATGACCGCTTGGCAAATCTTCAACCACAAAACGACTCTCTTCAAACTCTTTATACCAACCACATATCTGTGTCAGTTCTACTAACCTCGCGCAACAATATTTTTCACAATATATGCGCGATTGATTCAAATTATCGATTCCCGGTTCATTTCGTCCAAATAGTCGCACTAATATAAATTTAATTCAATTTAATGTAAAATTATCGTAGCGACCAAAATTCCACACAGTTAGGGTCAAATGGTCGCGGCGACCAAAATTCCTTCCACCCAAAGTCAAATGGTCGCTTTGATAAAATTTAATTAACGTAAAAATTATCGTAGCGACCAAAATTCCATCCAGCCAAAGTCAAATGGTCGCCGCGACCAAAAAAAGAATTTTGGTCGCTAACAAAAATTTGAAAAAGAATTTCGGTCGCGGCTTTTTGGAGTTAGGACTTTTGGTCGCTACAAAAGGAATTTTGGTCGCTACCAAAAACTAGAAAAAGAATTTTGGTCGCGAGTTTTTGAAGTTAGGAATTTTGGTCGCTACGAAAGGAATTTTGGCCGCTACAAAAGGAATTTTGGTCGCGGCGACCAAAAAACACTTTTAGGCAAAAAAAATAGTCGCTAAAATATGGAATTTTGGTCGCTGAGAAAATATAAGGGCGCGACCAAAATTCCCGCGACCAAAATTCACAGAGCCCATATCGTTCACAGATAAAGTAGCTCCAACATGTTTGAATTTCAATGTGCACGATGAAAATCCGAATGTAAGACTGCTTATGACTGGATGGCGTCATAACTTAGAAATATGTAAGACCGATTTTTATAATAAACATTATTTATTTTAAAATTTTTGGATCTCACCTTTCAACTCTATGTATTTAACTTCAAGCAGACATTAGGTTTGAGCTATGGATATAGCGGCTGCTATTCCATAGCTGCGATTCATATGCGCTATTTATCTCGTTTTAATGCATTTATCCATATTGTGCGCTATTTGCTACATCTCTCTCGTACTCACATTCAAATGTACAAAAGTAAAGTAGGCTATGATATTCCTACTCGGTGTTACACACAGCACACGAATTAAATAGCGCCTATGAATAGCACCTATAAAATAGCAGCCGCTATATGCATAGCTCAAGCCTAATGTCTGACTTCAAGTTTAAGCTGTTTCAACAATCGAGTTGAAAAAGATTTCATTGAAATCGTTACCGTTAGCTGAATGTAATACGGAAAAATGAAAAACGATCATAAAATTTCAGAAAATTGTCATAAAATTTCAGAAAAACGTCATAAATTTTCCGAAATTCGTCATAAAAATTACTAAAATCGTAATAAAATTAGATGAAAATCTTCATAAATTTTCAGAAAATCCGAATAAAAATTAATTGAAAATCGGAATAAAATTTCCTAAAATCGGAATAACATTTCAGGAAAACGTCATAAAATTTGCGAAAATCAGTATAAAAAATATCCTGCTTGTAATTAATTGCCACTCAATCAATGTTTTTCCACTCAACAAGCCAACGCGTGAATACAAAATTCATTTCGACAAATCAAAGAACAATTTTTCCATTCCAATGGGACTATTTTTGGGTGTATTAAAGCCAAGTGGTGACCAATATAGCGATACAATCTATAAAGAGGTTGATAACTGTTTGACAAACGAAAACAAAAATATGCAGGTGGCGTGTGTCTATACAAATAACTGGTCATCGAATCGGGTCCAAAACCCACTCAACGCAGCCAATGCTCAGATTGTTGCCATTGAACGCAAATATCAAAATTGCTTTGAGTGCCATGTTCCGGTTCACAACACAAAGGATCATGCCAACACCTGTGGAGCAAAGAATTGGTTTATTAGCACGTTGGCTGACGTTTACGTTAAAGTTCCAGTCATACGTTGTATTCTACAGTTCCAGTCTCCACCTTTTGTTTCTCTGAAAAACCAATTGATCAAGGTACAAAATGGTATGAAACTCTTCTCCCCGATGGCGGATGCGTATTTCAAATTCGAAACCGATTCGAAAGTATCATTGTTAACAACAGGATTTACTCGTTTCCGTTTGCCAATCGTTGTCGCAGAAGTATGTAAAAATGTAAAACTACACTCTTATATTATTGGGATTACCCCAAACACATTTTTGGGTTTTTTACCATGATTACTCCAAAAGGAGTCAGAATGACTCCAAATGGATTAAATTATTATTTTGTAAACAAAGAAATAATTTTCATAGTCAAATTTTTTATATTGTTTTCTGAAGTTTTACGGAAGCACGAATTACTTTTGAAACACCCTGACATCTCTGATGTTGTGAATTTTACAACAGAACGTTCACAAAATCTTTATGTCAACGAACGTTGTGAATTGTCTAACAATCGTTGTCATTGTGAATATACATATGTCATTGTATATTGTACGTATTCACAACGACAACGATTGTTGGACTATTCACAACGTTCGTTGACATAAAGATTTTTTAAACGTTCTGTTGTAAAATTCACCACATTAGAACTGTCAGTACATTATTGGGTGTTTTAAAATAATTTTATTGTGAAAAATAGTTCTATGTTCACAAAATAATAATTTAATCCATTTGGAGTCATTTTGACTACTTTTGGGGTAACATTAGAAAAAAATCCGAAAATTTGTTTGGGGTAATCCCTACAATATAAGAGTGTACTGTTGGCTGAATGGGTTGGAATCTCCCAGAATATCAAAATGGCACCACTGAAGGACAATTTTGTGCAATTGGAATTGATCCAAATCTAGTTGTTTGCGATGGAGTCAGCGGTGAGTCACTTCTGATGTTCCGCAATGGATCGAATATTCCAATTGTCGTTGGTATTATTTAGATTAGATCGAGTCATTCGTTTGGCCACACAAAGGCACTGTGGCCAACGGACGAACTATTTATATCAATAATAAAAATAAAATTCTTGTTTATGTTTTTTGCTAATCACTTCATTCTGCCCCATATTTCGCTTAAGTGAATTTACGCGAGTCTGATAATTTCCGATCAAATACAAAACCGGTTTCTTATCAATTTGTGTTTGTATACTGTTACTCACACAACCACCACTAATGCACTTCATTTTTGCGGACAGTGTAAGCAACGGGCGTCATATCAAGTTTCGTATTTAGTATGCAGCAAAAGTTCACGACTGTAGAAAGAGATTTGATATCAATCGCATTCATCTCATTTTATATTTATATTTAATATTCTCGTTTGCGTTCTATAAATCATTTTGTATCTAACATAGACAAAACAAACACAAACACATTCACTCAATCGTTGACCAATGCTGAGCGTTAAGTTCTATCAACAATAATCCGGTTTTGAAAACAACTTATTTGATTCAGAACGTTTTTCTGCATATTGTAAATGTGATTTCAAGTTCAAGTGCAAATATTGTGTTGTTTTTCGCGAGTGTTGAACTACGAGATGAATTTAGGCATTCTTTTATTGCTTTTTTTGGCATTCTCAACTTATGCAGGTAATTCATTCGAAATACAAAAAGACACAACGCTCGTAAATGAACAGAACGTACACGTAAATGACATTTGAAATGAGTCTAACGATTTAAAATGAATAAAGTGTTTGCCCTTCATTACAGAAACTCAGAGTGCAAATGATAGTGAAAGTGAGAGTGATGAAACCGAGTGAGTAAAACCCAAGCAGAATTCACAAAATTGACTACAAGAACACAAAATCCAATTCATTCTCAATTTCAACCATTATTTACTTAAAATAAATTCCAACATTTGTTGTATTTTTTCAAACTATTGAACTTTTAACGACATACTAAAGTTGTTTGGGTTTTTACGCACACAGCTTGAGCGGTCCGTGGAAGTCTTTAACTGACATTATTGGAAATGGTATGGGTTTTAATTATTAGCATTAAACTCGTTGAAAACATGTGAAAGACCACTTTTTTCTATCAGGAACTGTGCATGATTTCGAGAATCTCATAAGAAACGTTGCGAATCTAACCGATAATTTGAAGAGTCAGGCACTGTTTTATGCTTCTGAATCGGGTAAACACGTGTCGTAAAATGTAATGTAGTCAGAAATGATGAGAAAACTAACAGTTCCCATTGCAGATAATGATCAAATTACGGATGCTCTTGTCAAAAATGGTTCAGATGTTAATGTCAAACTATCCGATGGGTGGAGGCCAATCCACTGGGCATCGTGGAACGGTGAGTAGGAAATGAAACACAATTTTCATGAAAAAGCGAATGAATTTTTGTCTGCCGATGGTGGAAAGAAAAATCCATTACAATTTAGTGTAATCTTCGATTCAAATTCAAAGGGTTTGATCATGTCGTGGATTTACTAATTAAAAGGGGTGCAGAATGTAATATAGCGAATAATTATGGACGAACGTAGGTTATACTGCATTTTTTGATTGAAACATGGAACTAATTCGATTGTCTTGTAATTTCAAGATCTTTACATCTGGCTGCATTCAACGGACATGTATCGACTGCAGAGTTACTCATTCAAAAAGGTGCTCAGGTTAATTTCAATGATTGTTTGGGGTTGTCGTCTCTTATGTTCGCAGCATCAACTGGTAACGATGGACATTTCTTACAAAAATGTTATAATTGGAAGCTTTCGAAGTAATTGACGGTTGATTTTTGTAGGTCAAGTGCGAATGGTTGAACTTTTGCTCAAAAACGATGCCGATATATATATGAAAAATACATTCAATAAAACAGCTCAAATAATTGCAACGGAGAGAGGTAATTTTGATTTGCTTTTTTATTTTAGAAGTGATCGCATGGAAATGTCTTTCAAAAACAATTGTTTCCATTCGTTCAGGCTACCCTGGTGTTGTTCAGCTGCTCAAAAAAGCTCGAAGTTCATTTAAAGGTAATTCCAGAATTCAATAATAATTTTTCATTATAGTTCTCAGCGAACGCTTTCGTTGCAAAACTCGAACGGAAATGAGCATCTGGGCTTGGAAGGTATCCTCTTGTTGTGTTCATTCATGTTCATTTGTTGGAGTCGAGACATTAAAAATGACCATTGGCACTGATAGCATTTTCGTTCATGCTTGTTTGAACATAATGGATCGCATACGAACCAGTCATTAATCGTTGTAATTATCCAATTTTCATTTATAGCATGTGAAAGGGATTCAAAAGTTCCGGTCGAAAATGTTCTGAATGGTGAATCAGTGCAGATAGAGCAATTCCCATGGATGGTATAATTCGAATACTTCCAGAAGACGTTTAATGCGAAATTTGACTTTGTTTCCATTTTTAGGCAGCGTTGGGTTATCTCGACGAACAGTATCGCGTATCTTTTACATGCGCCGGCACCATTATATCCGAAAATTTTGTAATGACTGCTGCCCAGTGAGTATTCGAAACCGTGAATTTCACAGTAACGTGAAATCGTATTTCAAGTTTTTGAATTTATTTAAAAAAAAAAACAGTTGCACGTCCAAAGATGGTAAGCTACCGATCGTCGTAAGGCTTGGCAAGGTATCACTGACAGATGGAGATGGGTCCAGGCCAATAAATCATCCCATTGAGGTATAAGAATATTTTCATGAATCATGATCATGGTCTAACACGAGTCTTTTTTTAAACAGGAAATCATTCTTCATCCCGATTACAATGAATATACACAGCGCCACGACTTGGTATGATTCGAATACATAAATTCTGAAGACGTTTCATGCGAACGTTGAATTTATTTCTATTTCAGGCGCTGATTCGAGTTGGTTCCCGTATCAAGTTCTCCAACAAAGTGGCAAAAGCCTGTTTACATTCAGATTTACACGATGAAAGCCCAGACGTTAAACTTTTGGCAACTGGTTGGGGACGATTTGAATTGAATAGTAAGCTTGAGTTTACAAAGAATTAAATTTAAATTACTTTACACAAATTTTATTGCTCCCAGGTGTTGTGCAATCGAACGTGCTGAAAAAGATTCCATTGAAAACGGTTCCGCTGATTGAATGCATTACAAATTTCTTGCGAAATATAAATGTTAGAGTTCTGATTGGTGGCATTGGTAGAGGACAATATTGTGCAGTTCATACAGAACAAAATGTATCAACGTGTACAGGAGACAGTGGAGGACCCCTTCAAATGTTCCTAAATGGTTCAAATATTCCGATTGTTATTGGCATCGTTTCATTTGGAGTAAGCTGTACCCATGACACGCCAAGTATTTACACTCGCGTTGCTTATTATTTGGATTGGATTGAATCGTTTGTGTGGCCACGCAATGGTACCGTTCCCATTGGAAATACCATTTTTTTGAATAAAATATAAAATTGATTTTTCTATAGTCGACAATGATGAAAGTTTAAAATTTAAAATAATGAAATTTGATGACTGAAATGTACATTCCAATACGAAAACTTTGTAGTAAAAATGTAATAAGACTGTTCTCTAAAATAAATAAAGAATTTAAATAATTTTACTTTTCCGCACACACCGAGTATGTAAGGGGAAAGTATTGCAATGGGTCAAAATTTACGACACCTCAAAACATGTTTTCTGGACGTTTATGGGGTCAGAGAACCCGAATCAGGCCGTTTTGAGCATGGTTGTTGTGGGTCTGTTCCACGTCGTACGTTGTCCTCTGTACGCAACATTTGTCCATCGCTTATCTCAACCCCCAAAAAAGTTATTTAAAATCTGACTTTGCAGGATGATTGGGGGTCGCGAGGAATAGAAATCATTAGATTTTGAGCGACTTTGGTTGATGGAAAAAAATTTCATGCCTCGAGTGATACCTATGAAGAAGAGTCCAATTTTCGTCCAAAAGTCATACTTAATGTAGACTTAAACACTTGTAGACAGTTCGGCACTACGCTCTCTGTCTCCTTATTAACATACATTCATTCATACGTCCATTCAGATTCCATTCTTCTCGTTTCACTTCATTCTCCATCCTTTCTTCACTTTTTCGCCTATGCGCCTATGCTAGACTATGATGCACTCATGCATGCTTTATCTGCATACGCATGATGATGTACATTCAATTGGTCATTGTATTTGTTATCTGCGATGGTCCTTTGATAAGAACCGCGACCGAGGTTTCTTATATAATAAATAATTATTGGCGCCGCTGAACAAAAGTTGTGATCGTAAAAAGTTGAGATCGTGAAAAGTTGAGATCGTAAAAAATTGTGATCGTGAAAAAATGCGATCGTGAAAGAACTGAGATCGTGAATTATCACATTGAGATCGTAAAAGAACTGAAATCGTGAATTACCACATTGTGATCGCGAAATAATTCAGTTTATAAAGTCTGATTTAATAACTTTATCGCTCTGAAGTTCTTGAATTGAAAATGAAGTTGTTCGTAATTGCTTTGATATTTCTGGGAAGTGCTGCTTTAGCAACAGCTGCAGGCACTGAAGAAGAGCAACGTAAGTTTACAAATCATTTTTGATTGAGTTTGTATTTTTCGCCCTTATTTTCAAAATATTTCGCCATATTTTTTTCGTAAATAATAATACATTTTTAC